GTGTCACTGCTATAGGGACTGTTCTCTCCCTCAAGAAGCAAGCGATTTTCAAGAGCGTGTCACTGCATATGCCAATCGTTAGTCGGACAGACATGAGACGCGGTACTCGACTACATGATGTGCGGCGCTCTCGTGCATTTCCTCAAACACTTTTGAGATTGTCTCCTTGGGTTCTCCTTTCGAGTACGCACTGACGACCGTCTATCATAGTTGCTCAAGACATTCTTTGAGCCAGCAGGCAAGGTGTCTCGTCGAAGAAATCATTTACAAGGGTTCGAGTATCTCCGAGGACATCTATCGATTGCTAACTTGTTTGAGCAGCAGATACTTCACTTAATACAGTTAAAGATGTCAACTGAGCCTCAGTGGTAGTAACTGATACTGACAGTCAGCCTATTTACTCCCACAAACTTCATTTGAATGATAAACCATAGAACAGAGAACTGTGGGATTTATCCTACATGATACAGTGTATCTGTACTAAATGGAGTGTGCTACGGCCGGTAGATGACATCTGATATATAGTTGAGCCATCTGCGTCACCTCGTCTTTTAGCTCCATGTGTAAAGGTTCACCTTGTACGCAATCAACTGGGTCAAGCTGCTCATCGAAAAATTGAATGTCCTATCCGTCAACAATTTCGGCAACCACCACTTCGTCACTAAGTTCCGCCATAACTGTGCTACACATGCCCATGTCAGGTAGCCTCCTCAAAAACCATGGGCAACCTTAGTGCCTATACTAACTGTAGCTCCTAATCACCGAGTGAGCACAGATTTCAAGGGACCACATACATCCTCCGGACGAGACAAACGATACATCCTGGCTATGGTGGATTACTTCGTCATTGTACCATTTAAGCTGGAAGGTGCAATGACTACCGTTCGCGCATTCACTGACAAATGGATGTCACACTTTGATGCCCCTCTATTTTCTCATTCAGGCCACTTTTGAAAGTCTTCTAATTGCCCACGGCTGTAACACCTCCCGCATTCGGAAGACTTGTACTACGTCATACCATCCCTGAGATGGTTTGAAAGGACGGACTGAAGGAAGGATAAACTTCGTGACTTTCTTAGTCACACACCAGCAAAGATGTGGGACAACGTCTCACCTCAATGCTTACTCTCATACCGCTCCTCAGCACACTCGTCAACAAGGCTTCCCCTGTTTAGCCACGAACTCCGCCTTCTAGTCGAAATCAAAACATCCATGTTACCCCAAGAAGGATTTGACTGCACTCTATATGTCTGAGTTCTCTGCAACCAACTGGAGGTTGCCTACCTTTTAGTGCTCACTCACCTACAATCTCCTAGCATGTTTCAGAAGAGTGTCTATCACCGGTTGATGGCCGGACCCAAATACTCACTTGATGACTTTAGCTTCATAGACTGTCAGTTCCTGGGGGCTTGTGTCCCAAATTTTAGGCCTCATGGAAAGGGCCCAATGAGATAGTCCAACATCGAACGCCGACTGCTAATGTTTCACGGAAACTGCAGCGACCTCAGGAAAACGTCATCACCGCCCACTGAAACCACATGACCCAGCTGCCCTAAAAGAACCGTCAAACCCATCCTAACCGCCATCAACCACTACAAGATAGCAGCCGAACGGAGCGACGTATACTGAATACCGAAACCAGGCACTCAGGACTGTGCCTCGAGTAGATATGATGTGACAAAACAAAAGCCTTTACAGCCGAAGCATTTAACAGTATTCTCTCTCCTTTCTTTCGGAGAAATACCCGAGTCACTACCGTGCAGCGGTAGGAGCAGCACATACGGACGACCACTTTATGCTACTTGTTCAGCGAATGAAGTATTGGAACTTTTATGCCAGATAGTTGCACACATCTTCTACAGAATATTTCAAATTATTTGTATTGGGTTTGCTTGATGAAGAAATTACTGAATCAGCTATTGCAAATTGGTGACACTAGTTTTCCAATGCCTGAACCATCTATCTTCCGTATAACCCACGAGACCAGTGCGGATAGATAACTGAGATACCTACACCTGACGGATCATTTTCCAATACCTTTATTCTGATAATTTACAGGACTATAACCTCTAATATATTTGCAGTGCAGTTTTCGGCAAAATATTGCGAGATTTCCGTCTTGTAGACTTCGTTAGATTCACATTTCCTTGAGAGATAACACATACAAGCAAGGATGATACGACGACAATATATGTACGTTTACTATTATCCGACACAAGTGTACTTAGCGTAGAACAGAAAGCTGTTAGCAAGTCGAATCAAAATAATTGGATCGTCTGGATTCCGAAGTATATTTAGAGGTCCATACCATGGCACAGAAATGTGTGCTTAGCTCGCTACAGATCGCAGCTGAAGGTAACACAACAGCATGGCGAATGATGCAAGTGCTAAAAAGTTTGCATTTGCCTTCTAGAGGCTGAAGGTATTGACGTTCATGGATAGTATCAAGTTTATTAACGCAAGATCTAATACTGACAACTTCTATGGTATTCGTTCCGCGTAGATTAAAGGCAAAGCAAAACACAAGAATTGATCGTTCAAATTACGAAATATATTTCGGGACCAAATCAGACTGCGAGATAATTGCTTAACTAGCTGGGGATCGTGCACGAACGAACGAACGTGACACGACAGCGTACCAAATGGCGTGGATGCTTGACCGGAAGCCTTCAGCTAAACAAGTTGACTTAAACAGTGAGGGTCAGCATCCAATGTTCAGTGATGAATGCTGTCGCCAATAATTCTGGGGAATTATCTACCGCTACAAGCTTAACCAGTTAAAGTAAGGATTGAAGGTCAAAGAACCAAATTTCAGATAAAGAAAAAGCGGCAAGATAATATTTTTCTGGAATTATTTGCCATTAAATGATTAGTTCAACAACCTATTTTCTAGTTGGTAATGATTTCAATGAACAATCTGATCGTGTAAAGTGAAACCATGAAAATAAAAGCTGCTATATTGTGAGGGTTAATTTATCATCAGAAGATGAGATCTCCAAACTCAACTGTAGTAAAAACGAAACACCCCAACGGATCTTTGTATCTAAAGAAATATAGAAATTACGGTTTTACAAGTAAGAAGTCAGTACAGAAGAAAACAACCAACAGAATAAATTAAATAACGGAATCCTCAGCATAAGGCGGCAAACTTGAAAATTAGGTTGAGTTAATACACTGTCCCTAGTATTTACTCGAATAATGATCAATAAACAAGACCAATATGAGTTGACTATCATATAGTAACCAGTACGATTCTTTAACTGTTTTTAATACACTCTCTAGCCACCTAGATAAGAAGGACGGCAACCCATCTATTTGATGTCAATGTAATTTTCGTCTGCTTTATTTATATCTTTTTCGATTGGAATAAAAAGTTTACGTAGCAGTCAACAGCTTAGCAAAGTAAATTCTCCAGCATACGAACAATTCACAATGCTATTAACTGTGACCATGGATTAGACACCTTGTTAGTGAGATTTAAGATTATTTCCAACTTCTTTTAAGCCAAAGTTTCAAGATGACAGCATCTACTAGTTTGCAATTACTGTGAATTGGCAGGCTTATTGTCATGTGAAATCAGGTCCCTGAATAGTCATGACATGCAAGCTTTCACTACTCCTGTTAGGCAATTAAAAAGACTATTCTAGCTAGATGGAAACACTTGCACTTTGCAGAGTTCCAAAGACTTGTGTTGAACCCATTTCTGTATGTTGTTATTAAACTGTGTTGACTAATATCACATAAACAATATAAATACATTGAACACTGCTGTTAAAAAGATTTTTTATGCAGCTGATACCATAATAATTGAGAATGTGAAACTTGTATATCCATCTAAGCCCTCTTAACATGCGAAAAATGATGTCACATCCAACTGTATTTACCAATTTGAATGTACGTGTGGTCACACATACACAGAGAGGAATCATCAATCTTTCCAATTAAGGGCTTCAAAGCATATTCCTAAGTGGCTTCAGAAGCAATTAGAATCCCTTGAACCCATTAATGATGAGAATAGACGACCTAGGTCTCCCACTGCGAAACACATTATAGATACAGAGCATAAAATTGATGTTTACACCTCTCTTAAGTCTATGTGTAAGACGTGTTTGGGGGGTTTCCTAAAGTTTGTGGAAGCCCTAGCAACCAGCAATTTTTCTTCCTTCACGTTCCTCAGTGGAACATAGGGCTTCAAGCTATTGGCTTGAAGTTTCTGTAACGTGTTTATTTTACAGGATGGGGTTGCTAGCCTCATGCCCAACCTTTCCTCTTCACCAGCATTGTTTCTGGCTTAGCGAGGTAAAGGAGTGCGCCGGAGATCGAACCTCGGACCGTGTGCATGGTCGGCGAGCGTCCTAACCGCTATGCCACCGACGCACAACCAGCATTTAGGACGTTTAAACAGCCTTAATGAGTTCGAAAACAATTTGTCACCAAGTTAGAATTTCCTTGGTAAACTTCGTTGGAGACCAGGACAGATCTACTATTATCTCCCTGCTTTGGTTAATTGATCTCCATTGTTATTTTGAATTTCAATACAGCCTTTTAACTTGACCTGTGTCTATTCTCTCACCCTTTATTATTTTCATGTACATATTCCTATGACAAGTACGTGTGTGTTCAGATTCTTCGGAATGTGTTGCGCAAATACATTACACGATTCTGACAAATTACGTCTTCTTATTGTTTTGTCTAAATACATAAAGGGCACTAATTTAAAATAATTCTTAATCTAATATTATTACGACCAACTATTCACAATACATAAATCCAATAGCGATCCCTTTAAGTTGATTACACCAGTGTGTACAGCCGAAGTACTGAGCATTTTTATGTCAATAATTCAAAGTGATTTGAAGTTGATCGGTGAAACAAGGATGTGAAGTAAGAAAATTAACTTCGTCCTGTCTTTCAGATTGATTAAATGCACTACTAATGCTGCTGCTAACATGACTACTACAAACACTAGGGATTAAGAAAACGCTTCAATTACACTATTCATGCACTTATTTCAGATGTCAAAGACTTTATTTAAAATAAAACACGACATAATTGTTCTTCACAGTTTCACAAAATTATTTCAAGAAATATTCAAATGTTCCATATCAAACAATCTCCTTGCTCCCAGGCTCTGTACGGTAGCCTACACTTTTACCTTCAGATCTTGCTAAGCAAGAAATTGGTGATATACGACGACCACCCATATGAAATTCTTCTGGTGTTGTAATGTGAAATCCCATTGCTTTCAGTTTATCCACATCATTCTCTGAGCTACACAAATAAAACACAGAAAATTTTTAACTGCTTTAACAAGAATCATTAATTACTCGGTTTTACAACAGAAAGAGAAACAGACTTAAAAAAGTTAATGCCTACATGTTCTCTAAAAGAAAACATACAATGACACACTGAAGCGTTGCATCAATAGAAAACCTACATGTCGTGAACAGTTGACGAACTTCTACAGTTGAATTCTTCTGACAAGAAACAAAAGCCTTAATCACAATACTGAAAATATGTTTCACAGACTCCATCGAACAAATAAGTTTTCTGAAATCAACCTTTTTGAAAGATGAGTGCGTTTCACTGAGACAGAGGAGAAGCATAAGAACATTCGAAGGAACGTCAACAATATTGGAATTACATTTAGACGGAAATACTAATAACGATATTCGGTTAAAATCAATCGGAATGATCAATTTATAAGACGTTTCCATCTGACGAAACTCGGAACAGAATAGTAAAGTTGCTTCTTAATATATCTCACTGGGAAAGATAAGTTGCCACAACTGATTAGTTCAGTGTATGTCCGTCAGCTAACTTTTTCCTTTGATACAAAGTCATTGAACAAGATTTATTGTTTGCCACTTGGTGAAGAGCATTAAAAATCGACCAGTCCAGCTAATTTCCAGCATGCAGAAATCACGAGCCAATCAGCTTTCAAAATCATTTACACATTTCAGTCTAAACTTTTCCAAAACTTTACATCTGAAAATATTATTAAAGAAGCCTTGGCAATTTACACTTTAAACCATAGTTATCAACTCAAAAGCAGTTTATTAGGTTGTTTTCTATGCTACGGTTGTAACATGATTAACTGAGACGTCTAAAAATCTTGAACATTGATCAATCTTTCCAGATGAATCTTCTCAAGTGTTTCTAATTTCGTATAACTTTTTTTCTGTTCTACACTGTTATTACTGTTTAGGAACTAAATAAATTTCTTAATTAATACTCATATCATATGAACATTGTTTAAATCCGCCTTAATAGAAAAAAAATATGGTTACTTACAGTCATCATATTCTCTTAGGGGAATAAGTGGTATTTGAATTTCCCAAACCTTTACGATATACTTCTGAATATATTGCAGTTTCTTCTTACCGTTATGAAATATCACGCAAATATAATCATAACAATTTCAAGATAAACACAGACACAGTGAGTGGCTTAAATGTTATACAATTTTACAGCTTTTGTAAACAATATCGTTAAAAAGGACCGTCGTTGCAAAACTATATGGTTTGTAATTTAGTGGATATACTTCTGAGTAATTTATTCGCTACTTGATGCTTTAATTCTTCCTCTAAGAAAATCACAGATTTTAGTTCCGGTTTAATTCCACTAATGATACATATATGAGTGAGGATAAAGGCTATCGCGAGGTGTTTTCGCGCACAGCATAGGAAACGTCATAACAAGTATTCTAGCTGCGTAAAAATGTTGATGAAACACCTTTAAAACAGTCAAACGTAACATATGATATGATTACAAAATTCCTACTTGAAGAAATCCAAACCGTAATTGACCGCCTCTGTTATACCTATACTGAAACGAAAGTGCGGCGAGTTTGATTCGCGATAGCGTATATCCTCATCCTACATATCACATACATATACGTAATGATTAGAAAGTAGATAAAAATAATTCATTGCTCACGCTGATTTCTTCTCCAGGTTTATTTTTTAATTCCAATCACAGGCAGAACATCAAACTTTAGAGCAACTTCCCTATGCAATATCTCTATTGATGATGATGTTTAGTAATGTATTCAATCATTTTCCAACAGAAGCTCAAGCTTTACGAGAATAACCGCATCCGGAGGAATCTGATCACATTAAATATAAGAAGAGAAACTCAAGTTTAAAAAACAATAACAAGAAGACTTACTTTTCATAATCCAAAGTAACTGAAAGTAAATTACGTCCATAAACACGATCAAGCATTTGTAACAAACCAAGTTGTATGTCAGACACTTGATGAGAAGGCGTATAACCGTCATACGCCGACCTGGCAATTGTAATCATGCAAGGATTGTGTAGACGATTTAACAAACCTTCCATTTGTTCACGTAGTTCATTCTGTTCCTTAGAATTAGTCACCTACAAAGCAAGAAAGCCGTAATGAAGTCCTTAATGTATGATTACCAAATAGCAGTAATATTGAAGAGGATACTTTCAAATGAGATTAGGTTATAATAGGAATATAAGTATAATCTCTGATGCTGAAATCGTTAAGCTAATACATACAAGTGACTAAACGCACTTTGATTTTTATAAAAGAGCGCCGATAAGGCACCTCTTTAATAACACTTGAAGATGAGGAAAGAAAACTGAAACAAAATTAGGTTGTTAATGATTATCCAGAGAAATTCATAAAGAGATGTAAAGCGGACAGAACACCAAGACCCCTTCGTCAACTCGCCGCTAAGAATGATGTCTATATCAAGCTACCCTAAATGGGCGATCATTGTACCTTGGTAATTGGACAAAGGTTGAATGCTGCAGCTAAGACACGAATGATTGAGAATGTGAAACTTGTATATCCATTTAAGTTATCAGAACGTACGAAAAATGACGTCACATCCCAATTTGAAATTACCTGTGGTCACACATACATAGGGAGGAATCATCAATCTTTCCAAGTAAGGGCTTCAAAGCATATTCCTAAATGGCTTCAGAAGAAAATAGAATCCCTTGAACCCATTAATGATGGGAACAGACGACCTAGGTCTCCCACTGCGAAACATATTATAGATACAGGGCATAAAATTGATGTTTACACCTCTTTTAAGTCTATCTGTAAGACGTGTTTGGGGGTATCCTAAAGTTTGTGGAAGCCCTAGCCACCAGCAATTAGGAAGTTTAAACAACCTTAATGAGTTCGAAAACAATTTGTCATCAAATTAGAATTTCCTTGGTAAACTTCGTTGGATACCAGGACAGATCTACTATTATCTCCCTGCTTTGGTTAATTGATCTCCATTGTTATTTTGAATTTCAATACAGCCTTTTAACTTGACCTGTGTCTATTCTCTCACCCTTTAACACTTTATTATTTTCATGTACATATTCCTATGACAAGTACGTGTGTGATCAGATTGTTCAAGATGTGTTGCGCGATTCAGACAAATTACATCTTTTTACTGTTTCGTCGAAATTTATATAGGGAACTAATTGTTTCAAAGTTTATATTATTCACTTATTTAGACAAAAAAGCTTTAAAGGTAACCAACCAAACTAATAACAATAAGAAGGTAACCCAGTCGGTGTGAATAGAACAGATAGGTAGAATCTGGCACTGTTGTGCAACTTTCCAGATTGTTACATATCAATCAAAAGGGTATTAAGAAAAAAGGAAAAAGAATTTACCTGACAAAAATAAAGTCATTCAGTTTCAATAAACCGATACGGTATTTTGCACTACACATAGTGGAAATGAATCGAAACTAATAAACCGTTTTATCAAGTGAAAGAAACCACATAAAATCACTGGATACCCAAAAGTTGTGTAGCAGATAAAAACCCATATGAATTTCTAAGTAAATTTTTTATACTCTTGATTTTACAATCATTTTCTAGCTGGTAAATATATATGTTTTCTATAGTTTGGTTTGTAAGGGTTAGTTATGTTTTACGAGTTGACCACGGACTGATATCAATTAGACAACCACTGAAAACCAGGGAGTACTGGACAGCTGTTTCATCCTAGTTTGGGAATCATCGGCAGTACGCACCCACCACAGTGGGTTCGAACCTATGACCTTCCGGTTACAAGGCAAGCTCGTATACCATTTAGCCACTGGGACCCGATTCAATGGCTCATTTATGATAACTTCTACCAATTCGTGATTTAGCACGACCCCAACCATTGTCGTTGGTGGGACATCCATCCACACACGTGACATCTAATTGGACCCCACTGGTCACGACTTCTCACTAGAAAAAAAATATATGTGAAGTTACCTGGATTTTTAATGAGAAGTCGTAATCAGTGGGAACCACCAGGTCGGGTGAGGAAACAAATACCCACCTATGACACTGGTTGGCGGTGACGCTAAAAACCACGAATAAACATAATTTAGAATTAATGGCCCATTGGACTTCGTCCCAGTGACTAAATAGTCAACAATCTTGCTTCGTAACCTGCAGCTTCTGGGTTCGATCCCCGGCGGGGTTATGGGTGCGTACCGCTGAAGAGTTCCTCCAAAACTGGGATGAGACAGGTGTCCAGCACTCTTCGGTTTTCAGTGATTCCCCAACTGATAGCAATCCGTGACGAAACTTGAAACTAGTCAAATCTCTACAGACCAACACTCGAAAGTGTGTAATCCTTTAAAATAACAAGAAATAAACTATTAACAAACTGAAGGGAGTGACAAGAAGACTAAACGTTTACAAATTTATTCCTTAATGTTCTAGCCCACTAGACAAGTAGTTAAATTGAATATCGTTTATTAACAACAGCTAATTGATTATTCTGTCGAAGAAAATATGATTACAGTATTCAAAAAATACTCCTAATAGGTACTTCTTAAGATCAATATTCCGTTTATTGATTAGTTACAGGAAAAACTAAAAGTTAATTTGCAAGTTCTACGTTAAATTCTGCTATCTTGTAACATGGGTGTACCTAGAGTTTTTGAGGCAGACAAACAAGACCCATGTGTGGTATTTAATAAACCCCCTTCAACAGAAGCGACAAATCCATGAGATTCACCCTTCAGTTTCAGGATATTAAGAGATCGAAACAGGGAAACCTACAAGCGCTGAAATTAGCTTAGGTTGTAGAATGACAAGCACACTATTATTGTCAGTAGTATTAATATTATTATTAAATTGCTCCGCTTGAGTTTGAAGATGAGTTTCTGCTTAAACAGTTGGTAATACCATGACTTTAAGAGTTTCAATAACACAAATGTTCTACTTAATAACAATACAGCAGATGCATAACTCACATAATGTGGTAATGGATTATTTTTTTGATCTGCACACCCAGACCACATATAATGCATAAAACTTAAACTTTGATCATTCTGTTCATTTGATATAGATGGATCATCTAACTGTACATTTGAATTATCATCGCTATCACTTATCGTATATGCAGTTGAACTTGTGTCCAGCTTAGTAAGGACTACTTTTAAACTACGCTTTTCGTTTAGATCAATTTGATTACAAGAATCACCGTCGACTTCCATTGAATATACAGGGTAATTCGTCGATTGACATTGGTTTTGAGTTTCTGAAGGATCTTCATCACAATTTGTCATTACAGGTGATTGAGACAGGCGTAATCTTGACTTTGAATCTGTATGTGCATCACATGGACTACTGGAGCGACGTTTCATTGGTATAAAACTGGTATAATCTGATACAATTGAAGAATTTTTGCCTTCAGAAAGGTTCTGATCTTCAGGTGAACTGGAAGTTGGATTTGTATTCATTTCATTAGTTAGTTTACCTAAAGTAAAACACATACGGACAAGATACTGTATATGATTATGAGTGACTGAGAATATCTAATCAAGCCTAATATTTAAGGCTGTGTGGGAAGTAGAACATCTGATCCAGTGGTTTGCTTAAATCACTGGGTTACCAGAACTTCCAACCATCAAAATGCTTAAACTTTTCTGTACTTCTTATGGTTTTAATCGTGCAATTCAATTAGATGACCAATACATGAACTCGCGCGTATTATTTAATTAGTTTTGCACTATACGCTATGAAGTTTTCGAAGGAATTGAAGAAAAAATGTACATAGTTGGTTCTCTCCTCATATGCAGCAACACTACGACAAATGATGTACTTCAGATTATTGCTTTACATGTAAATTCTGTATGAAGAAATATTTTGGAATTAAATACGCTGAAAATTTATGTAATACATGTTTACATATTATCTTAAATAAAGCTTTTTATTATTATTATTGCATTTCTTTGCAACCATGATGGTAGCACAGTGAAAGTGGATTTCAGCTTGAAACTATAGCTAATTATAACTGGACCAAATAAGCTAAGATTGTGGAACTCTGTAGAAGAAAATTACACCTATTCTTAGTATGAATAATCAATTAATTACTCAAAATCACCACTAAAAAATAATACTACAAAAACGGTATATTTTTAGAGTGCTAGTTTAATATAATTATTATTATTATTATGAGTTTTGAAAGCCTCAATTGTCAAAAAAAAGTTTTACATCAACCTTCCTTTTCTATAATCTCAAGATTCACAATTGCAAAATAAAAACACTATTACAAAACTACATAAGGTCCCGAAAAATCTATTCATTACATGAAGAAGGAGAATATACACCATTAAGATTCCCAGCCCTGTTTAAACAACTGCGAGAATATTTAATCAGAGAAGAAAGGAACAAAAGATGAAATGATTAGTCGGTGTGAGAAACTTACATCGACGAAAAATTGTCACAAACTTCTTATTATCATTATGATTATTGCTTAACTCTTACTTCTATTGCCTTATTGATTACTACATAATTTTATCACTTTCGGATCACAGTGTTCATGTGGTCTCCTCCATTACTATTCAATAAAAGACTGTTATGAATCTTATTTGATGCAAATACGATTAAACATCTTTTAAAGGTGAATTCGTCGATTAGAAAAAAAATTTCTTAAATGAAACGTCTTTTCAAGTGTTGGTTTGTAGGGATTTGATTGGTTGCAGGATTTTCATCATGAGCTGACATTAGTTAGAGAACCATTGGAAAACCTGGGAGTACTGGACAGCTGTTTCGCCCTAGTTTGGGACTCTTCAACAGTACACACCCACCGGGATTCAAACCCAGGACCTTCTGGTTACAATCAAATCCCTACAAACCAACACTTGAATATCAGTGAGATGCTCACTAGCGACTTGCCCTATTCAGGTAGGTAGTTACCTGGGGTTCTAGTGAGAATTCGTGACCAGTAGGGTGCAGCAGGTCGGGTGTGAGGACAAATACTCGCCGAAGACATTGGCTAGGGGTCGCGCTATGTCGTGAATTGGCAGAAGTTAGAATTCATGGGCCATTGGATCGGGTCCCAGTGGCTTAATGGTATACGAGCTCGCCTTGCAACCAGAAGGTCCTGGGTTCGAATCCCGGTGGGTGCGTACTGTGAAGAGTCCCAAACTAGGATGAAACAGCTGTCCAGTACTCCCAGGTTTTCCAATGGTTCTCTAACTAATGTCAGCTCATGATGAAAATCCTGAAACGTCTTTTGTCCTAATTGGATTTTAATTCAAAGAAAACTGAAGGTCATCAATTACTTTATTATTATAGAATGATATCGAATGTGCCGGGAGGTAGAAATCCTGTAAGTAAAATAAAGGTGATTGAAAAGAGAATTTTATAGTTAATATAACGTTTGATGTAATTATGTGGAATCTATTTCTGATTAACGCCTATGAGATTTCATACATATTATCTGAACTAACCATCCAAACGAAAACCAGTCTTGAGTACTAACAGAACCAAAGAAAATTTTTCCAAATGTTCCTTGAATAACTAGTAGGAACATGATAACTGAGATTAACTTCTCAGTCTGCATCATCAAGATGTACCTGTACACTTGATAGAACTCATCAAGTTATTAAAATTCAAAGCTTTTAGTCCACGAAGAGCCTTATTACACTCTAACCTCTAATAAATTAGATAGATAAATAATAGTGATTTCGAAATTAATATTCAACGACACAATTTTTGAATATCAGTTGAAAAATGACTTGAGTAAAAATTAGTAAGGTCTGTCCATTAAGTTGTATTAATGCACACAAGAAAGCTTGCAGATATGCACATTAGTCATTTCAAGATCTTATGGCGAATTCAATGCATGATGATGACGCATCATCTAAAATGACCATATTTAGTTCCTTGGTCGATGATCTCTTATCAATAATTCCAAGAGTTCATAACTAGTATACCGTGGAAACTTTATATACTACCAACGTAGTCGGCAATCAAGTTGCCCACTCTGAAATAACCATTCTACACAGGTCTTAACATTAACAGCATTTTGGATATCATAAGTGAGTGGCGTAGAAAATACTGCTCTTATATTTAAAGCTCAGGAGATATCAGGTAATATGGCTGGAAATCATGTACTATAACAAAAGTATCATCGATAGAATTTTAAACATTTCGCTAATAATTCAGTTATTCTCTCCAGCACTCATATTTGTTTATTGTAGTATCATTTCATTTCTGTTCTCTTTCTTTTAATGTGAGCTTTCGATAGAGGAAACTGAGAATGACTAATTTTTATGCAGTATCCAAAGTTAACTTATTTCAGAGTATCTCTAGAATATGAGTGCCTAAGACTGATGCAGCTGCCTTCACTCCATACTCAAGATCAGACGGTCATAAAGGATTGGCAGCAACCAACTCTGGCGACGAACCGACCAAGAACCTATCGCTCAACATATATGCCGAAGGAAAGTGAGGCGGATCGGACACACGCTGAAGATACCGATGAGTGACATCGCGCGCCAGGCAGACCTCCAAAGGGGAACCTGAATGAGAAAAGACATGTTGGGCGTCCGTTGGCAACATGAAGGAGATCATGTGAGGAGGAGATGAGAGCTTATGGGCAATCGTGGAGCTAGCTAAACAGGACTTCGGAGAATAGGGTGAAATGAGCATGTGCAGTTAAAGCCCTCTTCAACTCGGAACCCAAGGGAATAACAATAATACAAATGATGTGAAGGAACTACAGTAAGCGAAAACTTACAGAGGAAACAACAATTAAATGAAGATTAGTGAAATCTGATCACGAGAAGTGACCAAATTCGCGCCACCGCAAGTGTCACTAACAATTTCCAACCACTGATTCCTACAGTCGTGAGGATCTCAGTCAGGCAATCTACACTTCCCTATGTGACTCATTTACCTGTACTCAAAGTTTCCAATTTAAGAAACATGCTTAATATAAATTATTCACTAAATGAATAAAACCTATCTTTATTGCAAACATTTGTCTAAATCATCCCACAATACACAGTAATATTGCGTCACTTGGCGAAGTGACCACAGAGCACAACCGGTTGGTAGATTTTGATTGACACAGATATATTGGTTACCATCCACCAACCGATTCACATACAGCCAGACTGTTATTGAGAAATCCTAAGAAATCATTAACACGCTGCAAAGTACTGTGGCGAGTGCTACTTATAATCAGATATAAGTAGTACATAAGTAAACGAATTCAGAAAAGTAGCAATATGATTGGGGGCACTGGAAAAAGCAATCGAAAAAGAGAACCGTGAGAAGAAAGTTACAACACTGTACAGAAGCCAACAAGCTATCTAATGTGGTGATATTCGACCAATTTACAAATGATATGCAAATAAAGACTTAAAGATAAGGTATATCATATTTATGTTCCTACAATGCGTTTGTCGTAATAAACATTGCCTTCAAGCCTCATCAGTTTTCTCCTTTACAGTGCAACGTCATATGATGTATCAATCAAGCTAGTAACCGTTTTGCAGTTTGATTTATTTTATTTTATTGAAAAAGAGCTTAAATTATGAACCAGTGACAATGGAAAAGCATTAAAAAAACGGTCCGTGTTGACTACCAACTTGGCCTTAACTCTTCGATCAATATGCATACTAACGATTTAAACGTCTATGTTTTAAAGAGAAGCATTTAAAGGTTTGTCCAGAAAAGATATTTTAAATTAATAAGAACAATAAGTATTCGATTGTTTCTTCGCTTTCATTATCTTTTAAATAGATGCCAGTTCACATTAAAAACACGAAGGAATAAACTAAGAGAAAAGTGTATAACTGTATGTCTACAAACAAACCACCCTTTTAGAATTTTCTTAAGACAGACTGACCTAACATGACTATTAACTTTGACCAATTTTCATAACATTTTAAACAAACGTGTAACATATTAATTGACAAAATGAAGCTTACTTAAAGCATCTTGAATAGCTTTATCATCTGAAGCAAGTGAAATCAATGGTGGATTTTTATTAAGCGCAAGTTGTTTTTTTGCAGAGTCTAAGGTTTTTTTGACTGCTTGTAATACCATTGGACCGAAATTCTGGTCTGTAAGTGAAAGGATCAGTCGAGCGAAATCCACAAGTTCACAGGGGAATAAAAGAAAATTTTCAGACGACGGCATTTCCCCGCGCTCCCAACAAGAAATCCATTGAGAAAGACGAGCTAGTTGACGCTTACGAGCAGCATTCAAAACATGAGCACAACTCATTCCATGAGCTAATATCACAGCTGGATCTTCCAAATCTTTCGGAGACAAACATAGTGTTAAGGGAGGTGGAGGAGTATACAACCGATCAATAATTTCAAACTGAAATGAATAATAACACTTATGAATATAATGAAACAATTTTATTTGTTAATTTACCATTACTTATTTCCCTAATTACAGTGACTATCAGCATAATTTACTGATTGAGTGGGATAAAAACTTATCAACACTGTCGGAAACTTAGAAAATGCTTGTGAGATCCCATTTTGGTATAGCCAGGCAAAAAGTATCGAAACAGTCAACATCTGAATTCCATTCTTTTATCGCCATATATTCATGATATAGTTCACCATGATTCACTTCTGCCTCTTAATCACATGAAGATGGACTACTGAAAAGACAGTATTAAAGTTAGACTCTCAGCATGCAAAATTGAGTTGATACGATTGTCACGTTTTAAGAACAGAGGTGATTAGGAAGTGCATTACAACCACCAACTTATCACCTACCCCAAGGCCCAGTTGTAATTAGAATGAATTTACATTGAGGAAAGATACATGGATTTCCCTATTAAGATACGGTAGCGGTAAATAAAATCGTACAAAATGTGCAGTATTACACTTATAAGGTCTATGCACTGAAGAATGGATGTCCAAAAGCACTTCTTTATTATCTCTAGTTGTTAACATTTGTGAAACATATGCATACATGAATATCTTGTTCTATGAATCACATACTAAATCATATGTTTGAATAAAAGTAGAAATGTGGACACTGTGACAGAATTTTAGGCTAGTTTATTTGATATAGCGCACAAATATACAGTGTAATAACCGGATGAATTTTCAAGCACAATTCATTACTCATTGATATGATTATGAGATATAAATTACGCTAGCAACATCATTCAGTTATTAATACTCTATCATTGTGTTATACAAAACGAATGTTCCAGCTTAATTTAAAGTGTTTGGTGCCAAGATGACTAGCTCTACAAAAGCTTTGCATTTTAAACCACGAATACGCATTGTGTTTCTGAGACAAACAACCAAAGAACAAATGCAACTTTGTTTTGTGCTTCACCGACCATCCTTTGTGCATTTGGATGAGTATATGAGTATCTAATGATTTCTGGGCTAACACTGTCTGTCATGCTGCTCCCTGTGAGATTTGATACCAAGCAGCTGTTGCTGTAGGCATTCTAGATGAAAAATTATGTATTTTTCATAGATATGTACTACATTGACAGCACTTGTTTAGTACATCAATAACCATAATGCACTCGATGAAATACTTCCTATCTACCTAGATTGTCCTACTCAAAGTAGATAAGATAATAACCTAGTATAAGTGACCAGCATCAATATGACTGTCTCAAAAGTTTGATTCGCAACTAGAGAATCATGAGTTCAAACACTGTTAAAAATGTGACATTAGTATTTTTGATACAAATATGTGACCTCTTTTTAAAGCACAACCATAAACAAGCTCATTGAGTTTCATAAGAATTCACGTATATGCCTCGTCACATGAATAGTTTCTAAACGGAAACTGCTAGAGGCTCAAAGTATGGTGAACTACCTGAACATTTACTGATACATAATGGAGATTCTCGTGTTGAAATGGCTTTTTCACCACACCACTTCATACTGATGTACTACGGGTCTGATTATATCGAGAATAACTTGTTCACTGAATACATTTGATTTAAATACAAAAGGAATATACAAACATAATCTCTTACTTGTTCTTCTGTGAACTTCGTAGAAAATGGATTTTGTGTAGAAAAAGTATCTAAATCTATATCCAAAATGAAAGACTGGTTTAGTAGCACACAGATAATATCCGTGCACACACGACACAGGGTATTTGTTTCATGAATTGGGGCAACTGTTAGACCAAACTTCACTGGAGAGCTAATATCCTCTTCCATACAGAATACACCATCGTTGTAAAAATATGACTCAGGAATGCCAACTCTAAAAGTTAAGCATAAAGACATATTTATTTGTGTAAAGCTCCCGATGTGTAAGCAACGAAATTGTCTAAAAAAGCCTAATACTTGCTTACGGAATTCCCAACGAACGAGGAAAGAAAACATATTTGCGATTACGAGAAAGCTGGAGATCTGATTATAATGGTTTGAACTCAGTTACCTGGAAGAGACTTTTCATGTGCGAGGTTATGAGTCATACTTATTATGTGAGGGCTGATAATACTACCCAGTTGCCTAGACTGAAGGTAGGCTAAGTGGGACTCGAACTAGACACCCATTGACTGAAAGCCAAGTGGTGAATCTAATGAGCCGTACTCCTAATTACATGTAACAGAAAAATATATATATATGAACATAATAAATATAAATACTTCGTACTACTTTAGGTCAGGGGAAGAAATGCTGAAGTGTATGCAGAAAGTATGGAAAGCTCCCTCCAGTTACTTTTTACTACCAACAAGAAGTTGAATGATTATCACATAATAATAAACGACGTGGCACTTTATTCTGTCCTAACCTGTATATATGACTTTGTTGCAAATGGAATATAAAAATTACAGAGATTTAAACAAAGATATTTCCATTTGATTTTATGGGACTTAGATTGAATTAGGGTCAACTTTATCACGAAATGACAGTAGATAGAAAAGCCAAAATGAGAAACTTAGGAAAGAAGTTTCGTCAAGACTTTTCAGTCATACTAGCCGATAAAGAATTGAACTAGAGACAGTCAAGTCACACGGCGAACCTGTTACTACTCAGCTATCGATCTATAATCCGATGATCCACGATTTTTAATTACTTTAAAACATTCTTTGTGAGTGATTCTAAGATTATGCGTATAACTACGGATAAGGAAAATAAATCTATTGTTCGTGTACATCAGCCTCGTGAGATAATTATGGTATTTCGTAGTGACTATCCTTTAGTTACTTCGTCACTTCTAATATCTTGATAAAATCATACAGGTGTGTCATGTTTCCATGTATTGTGGTAAACAAGTCGGTGACGATGTAGATTATTATTGTATCTTGGACTGATGACACTTTTTCTAATCTACCTCCACACTTTCTACAGAATTATTACGAGGGAAGTAATAGTTCCAATATGACAACTCAACAGATCTTTTCTGCTGCTTTATATAATTACGTAACTTACCTACATCAAAATATACGCATAGTACAAGTCAACCGAAACCGTAAACCTCTAGGAAAATGTATTAGCATATTTTCATTTATCTTTAGCCAGCATGTCTTATTAGCCCGCATTGTTTTACTTTTGTTGATTTTTACTAATTTATGAAATTATACTTGAATCAATGCACTATGCTTTGAGGTTTATTTTTTTGCTCATTTTGAGAGAAAGAAGAAACTTTTCTTTGACAAATAAAAAAATTAAGACGTTACATTGGGCATTTATGGTTAGCATAAGAGTTCACCGATTAATTCAACGGTGATGTTTTACATTGTCTATTAGTTCAGTCTGTTATTGACTAACTTTTTAAACATACTGTTTGGAACTGTACAGAGTGATAGACATAAAAGATGGAAAACAACTAACACTGAACTCACACAAGTCGTTTTGTACACAAATCTTCACCGATAGAATAGCACGTAGGTTTTCTGTTTAAAAGTTGTCTCGACCATGTTGGATGCATCCAAATAACATGATCTATATGACCAGCATAGATCATTGGTGTTATCCAGTTTTCTATGCTTACTTTCCTAAAATTTAAAGACAGTATTAACAGGCAACTAACTTCATAAGTTGTTGAGGATCTCTCAAGATTTCTGAACAGTCAACATCAGGAATTCCCAAATCAGGATGAGAATCGAAATGCAACAGCTTCAGACCTGAGAAAGGAATTGTTTTGCTCCCGATAGCACGATATATATAGTTCATAGCCTTGAATATGTTTTATAATAACTTACTTCATTGTGACCCTCCACTATTACAACGGAGATGGGCCTAGACATATCGGTTCCAACTAAAAAACAAAAGAGTTTCTACATTAAATAAGTGTGATCAGACACAGAAACACTCATAAGGCATAACTCCAAATGTATTTGCTCTGAAAACTGGAATGAAAAAATACTTCAGGTGGAAAAGATGGGGAACAATGCTAAGTGAATACTGCAGTTGATCCGAACTTAGTTATCACTCAACAGTGATGCATAAAATTCGGCATTTATTCAGAATGAATATTAGGTTTTTTTAAAATACAACGCCCGTAAAGGCATGCATGTAAATAATTTCAGCAATTTAATTATCAGACAAATATTATGCACACCTATCATGCCACATGAAACATGGTGTTTCTCGCCTATATAATCTCAAAAGACTGTAAGTTAGTTTTTTTAAAAAGGAAGAATACCTACAGACCAGGAAAATGATTTCAGCTGTAAAGTGTTATTTGAACCCTAGTTTTAATCTTTCAAGTTTTCACTAACACGTTGAAATCAAATCATAAGTGTTGATAAAAAATTTGACTTTTATTACTTCACTAGTCAACTGTTATACCGATAAGTCACATAAAAACGATATAGACGTGAACTTTAAAACGAAGTTACTACTTCTGCCTTTAGTTTTAGCGATAAACAACTTTAATTTCAATTATTAATCTGCAGTCAATGTTCGTTGCTCCAAGATTGCTGCGATATTTATTGATGTAATCTACATACAAAAGCTGTCTAACATCAATCCTAATGGAAAGCTAACAACAATTATAATGTAAATCACGTTATCTAAACAGTACCAAGTAGTGAAAACATTACAAATGAAGAACTTATAGATATTATAAAATGAAAGCATGTTACACTCCTTGAACAGAATACAAAAACAAGATTCTTGTGGGAACAACATACATGACAGTTAAATATTTAATAAACTGTTGACACCAAAACACTGAAATTATCGTATACATTCTAGTGAGAAGTCGTGACCGTGAGGTCCAATTAGATGTCACGTGTGTGGATGGATGTCCCACCAACGACAATGGTTAAGGTCGCGCTAAATCACGAATTGGTAGAAGTTAGAATTCATGAGCCATTGAATCGGGTCCCAGTGGCTGAATGGTACACGAGCCAGCTTGCCTTGTAACCGGAAGGTCCTGGGTTCGAATCCCAGTGGGTGCGTACTGCCGATGATTCCCAAACTAGGATGAAACAGCAGCTGTCCAGTACTCCCTGGTTTTCAATGGTTCTCTAACTGATATCAATCCGTGATCAACTCGTAAAAACGTAACTAACCCTAAAAAATATAAAAGTATACTATAACAATTTAGGTATTTCTTTTCTAAATTTTACTCTACGATTCTGAAAGCTTGGAATGAAACCAACAAAGGAATCTTAGATGTCATACTACTCTTACAATAAGTAGGCACTTAAAGACATCGCTTGAGCTAATGTCATGAATTATTCGACTGTACTCTGACGTTAGACTTTAGTACTTATTTCGTGTTGTGATTCTGACTGACCGATTTTCCAAGCGATGTGGTTCAACGAGTAAAATTCTACATAATTATTCATCAGCATTTTAACAACTTATATCTGAACATAGGTCTTTAAACAATACATCAAAATAACGGTTTGCTTCAGGTTAACACCCATTATTTTCACCATTCCTGTGGGCTAGTCAACACCCGAATTTAAAATGAATTATGCTGAACAAAGCAAATCAACAATCAGAAAGAATAAATCCTTCTATACACTGAATGCCAGCTTTCTAACAGATCAATGTCGATTGGACACTATTTAGTAACTAGTGTAATGTGTCTAGTCCTCTGTTTGATGCAGACTGAATTCTATCAGTCTATCCAATGCAGTCCTACAGGAGGTCAAGTGCGAGCCCGAACAGCTTAGAGGTAACGTCTCTGACTGCAGCACTGGGTGAAGCGGGTTCGAATCCCAGAAGGGAAATGAGTTCCTTCAAGGTTGCTGACGAGTGCCAACTAGCAAGAAACCTAGGTCCAAGAATTCCTGCCGACTGCCTCCAACCATCTAAGATCAATGTCAAAACAACGCCTTTTTATGGTCAGTCGAAATAGAGACAATATTTGAGTCGTAAATAATTCAACGCACTTCCAAGAGTGTTATTTTTCAAAATTATACACATTACACAACTAGAGAGACTTACAGTGTACAAAGCACTTTCCCATTTTAACAGATTATGTGCGTTGCAAAGCAGTGTTCAGCATTATTGTACACTCATGAATTTTTGAGTTAATAACCACACTTGCACGTGTTTTTAAGATTTAATCAACCACAAAAAAATCAAATGTGCATACTTCATTCATATTAAGTCCAATAAGGATATTGTCGAAGTTTAACTCCGACAATTAGGCGTATAAGTGGTATAGTCAAATCAAACTGTACGTTCCATTCTAGATTCGCTTAATGAGTTCCAGAAGAATCGATTGACTAACTACTGTATGAATAGCGGACTACCCGGCGTTACTTAAACATACAAATGAGGAAGACGACTGACAGGATAACTAGTCTTTCAGAAGATTAAAGAATAAATTCAGGAGCATGGACGAATTTCAGAACAACATGATGCTTAGCAGTCTTTTCAACAATTTTGAGGCGTTTATTCAACCTTAATTGTGATTAGTTGCACAAGGTTGGTGGTAATTTCGATTTAAGTGACTGCTACAGTCTAACTCCGCAAGGATAATTAATCAAATTTATCGAAAATAAGCTTAATATTATTCCAGAACGACGCGCATTTCAAGAAGTCTCTAGATATTGCCACGCAGAATTATCTTCATGATTTAAGAGATATGTTAAGATATCGTATCACATCTAAGGTATGCGACATGTTGCATATTATGAAAGTAACAAACTGTATTCTTATCAAATTTGATCTTTGTATTATTCATTAATTTATGTCAAGGGTCTCATAATTCATTTAATCCGATTGCTAACATAATTTTTCACTGATTTTCTATTCACGGTATTCAACGGCTTTAAAATGAACACTACGTTGCGTATACGCATATAAATATCATCGATATATAATACATGCATTCTTCATTATTCAGTTTGTTCTGCATATGCACTTCGTTGAGAGTACAAAGACATCATCCTCCCTGGAAACTTGGTATAAACGAAAGAGGGTTTTACGTAAATTTGCGCTTTGGTGAGGAAATTTCAGAGTTTATATGAACTCTGTAGGAGACATGCGAGTGGAATTTTCGAGGTAGTATCGGATGCTTTTAATTTTGAAGGAATTTGGGGGTGGGGGAATGTAGAAACTTCTCAAGATGTTTTAGAAATGTGCTGTCCCAACAAACACACAAATTTCTCGAACACTTAAGTTGTCTAAGTTAACTAAACCCTTATTTAGCCATTTTTAGTTATTTCGCGGAGGTTTACTGAGTTTCCCCAATGAGAAATTTGTATATGTTCCTTAAAAATCACCCAAGTACCAGACTTTTCCCAAGATTATTAATTATTTAGGGCTGGAGTAACTTAAATTACATTAGAACTCTACGTATAATAATTTAATATTTGTGAGATAACTTAGAAAAATTTTTGTCTGGCGAACACAGGTTTTTACGGTTCTCCAAACACAATTACTCAATTAGTAATTCCATAAACTTAGTAGACTGATGTGCTGACCTACACAAGTCAAATATTGTCAAGGTCGATAATCCAATATCCAATATCGTTTTTACGAGCTAGTATAAACCAATTTGATTTCTTTGTGCTCGCCTCTTGATTGTGAGGTAGAGGTTCCTGATCTTCGGTAAACGTCTGCGTAGCTATTACATAATTAAATTATATAATTAATATCCTTTCGTGAAAGCCGGGTAAAGGAGCCGGAGTAAGACTCACAGTTATAAGTATTTTACCGCATCAAAGGATTTTCGTTTTTCCTTCATTAGTTAAGTGTTTAAATTAACACTGTTTTCAAAGTTATACATGTACTACTATGTTTAAATAAATGTCTCTCACGGAAAAACTACTGCATCTAAGTAATAGCTACTTAGACGGCTTTCGAAAATTAGAAAAATTCATTTTATTGCTACTGATGTAGATGAAATTTCAAAACAATAAATGTGTTGCATAAAATCCTAAGAGTGTCAAAAATAGGGATTGACAACTTCAGTCACTGTATTGTTTAAATATTCACCGTTCCTTGTTAATATTTATTGTATAAACTACAATAAATTCCAACAGATCATGAATTTGTACTCTTCAGTTTTACTCAAGATTCATTCCCATTTTCACTCAACTGTTATCTCCGCTTTTTGATATTGTCTCCAGTAAACAATTTAAGTGGGAATCACAACATGAAGATATCTTGCGGAAAACTTTTGAGTTTATTAATAAACAAGCTTTCTTAAGACCTTTCTAATCAAAAGATAATTCTGTTCTCACTACAGATGCTTCTCCTATTGGCATAGCTGCAGTATTTGATCAAAATGGATAACCTGTTCTTTGTAGTTTACGATGTCTAAGTAAAAGTGAACAAGGGTACTCACAAACCCATAAAGAGGTTCTAGCAGTTGTGTGGGCAATAAGATGCCTGCACAAGTATCTTTTTGGTACTAAGTTTCAAATAGTCACTGATCATCAGGCTTTGAAATGCATTCACAATCTGGAAAAATCTTTGAATAGATCATCTGCTGCTATGGTTCAAAGCTGGAATTTAGAACTAAGTGCAGAGATTACACTATTGGACAAAAGCCGACTAAGGATTACCTTATGTCATTGTTCATCATTTGAATATTTTTCCAGTTACAATTATTGTTAGTTCAGGCGTTACCTGTAGATAGGGTTCGCGTTATACACGCTACTTGGAAATATGCTGGGGCATAATAAATGCAACAAAAATAGGTTGGAATATTCAGCGTAAGCGAAGATTTCCGGACATTTATAAGCGAAGCGATGAGATTTCAGTCCATCCTGAAGGATTTCTATGTGCAAATGACAGAATTAATGATCCTCCGACATTAAGATCTGTGATTTTGGATGATCTTCATTCTGCTTATTCGAGGGTTGATAAGATGAAATCATTAGCACGCCTAACGTGCTGGTGGCCGGAAATTTATGCTTACACTAGCAAAAGATCAAAGAGCTGTTCCAGTTGTTTGCATAAAATGTCCTATGGGAAGTCATCATGAAAACCATGGCATAAGTCTTGTGAGGTTTGGCAGCGTATTCATGCGGATTGCTGTGGTCCATTCTTAAATTCATACTATGCTTTATTTATTGTGGATTCTTATTCTAGATGGCCAGTCATAATAACAGACATTTCCAGCGCGAAATTCACATAATTAGCTTTGATGGAGGTCTTCAGCTGAGAATGAATTCCAGATGTCTCAGTTACTGATAATGGTACTAATTTCACCCATTTTATTCTAATGATTACATTAACAAGCTACTTATTTCTAGAAAGAATCAGTTGCTAGATTATTAAAGTACCTAAATAGCGCATAATACTTAACCAATTACTCTGTAAACAGTAGACAGACTAGCTGCATAGGTGCATATAACGACTATAAATATAGGTTTACTAGATGGTAATGTACTATGAATATAAACATATATATTTGCAGACGTTAAAATTCTATCTGTGTCCGTGTAATTTTTCTTTCCTCTCTGGTACTTCGCTGCTCGCCTCTTCTCTCCAATTGCCTTGAAGTGAAAATTGCACATATCTACAGTTAGAGTGAAGTTGAACAGGACTTGAAGCCATTTACTTGTATATGTATATCACTTCAATCTTCAAGCTTTTGGCTAGTAATAACTCAGCACCGTTGAAAAGTCCATATCAGGACGCTGTATAACATTGTAGACGAGCAGTATCCATGACCTAAAATGAAAATGCGACTGGCTTGCAAATTGTTTTTCACATCTTAATCAACTTTCTCATACAGAACTCCATGCAGTTACAAATGGCGGTATTGACTAACCTGGGTGCAGTAAAACAAATATACCTGGCAATGACCGATATTTGTTTACAAGTAGTACATTTCACTTCTGATGTTACCTGCAATGAAATTCCTAACAAAATTATGCAAATATACTACTTATTCTGAATTAATACCCAATTTGGTTATAAATCAATAATATGATTGGATTTCGTACACACCAAAGTTATGTGGGGTAAATGACTTCAAGTTTTATTTTTTCCTAAGTATTTGTAATCCATCCATGCGTGGGATTTTGCTGATGCGAAGACAATATCCTTATATTTCTTAATGTGCTCCACTGGATGACTAATTAACAGACTGTTCCCACAAACTAAAGTCAAAAAAGATAGCAACCATGTAAATTCACCGTAAACCAAATTTGTGTAATTCAAATAATACTAACCCATACCTGTACAATTAGTGTGTTCCTATTTAGATAGGAATAATCATATAATTATTCATATGTGAGTATTATCCCGGGATTATGTTCACCAAGGAATTGTTACCATCAGAGAACAATTTCACCCCTCCAGTACATCTTCTAAAAATTAACACACAACACCTAACGGTGGTTACTTTCAAAAATACTTCACGCAAGCATGACAAAAAACAATATCATCCCATATCGTGACAGAAAAGAACGTGAAGCCAAAGGAAATATTCCAAAATACTCAGAAAATACTTCGAACTTTCGCTCACCTAATTGTAGATCTCACATAGAAGAATAAGTACGCAAAACAAGAATAGCTAAAGGTGATATTCTCAAACATATGCTCAGCTGCAATACTCTAAGTTCCAACCAACCTGGATTCCTAAAATCCAGATCATGCATGACCTGTCACCTTGACTTCTTTAAATACATAACTAGTAGCCGAGACAAACAACAACTAGTACTAGTCATCTACTTCGACATCTCCAAAGCCTTCGACCACGCTGATAATTTGCTTCTAATAAATAAGCCAAACTCCCCAGGAAAACGTAACCCATTATTAGGATGGATTGAATCATTCCTTGACAATAGGTCCCAAGTAGTTAGACTGGGGTCTCTAAACACTAAGCCTAGTCCAGTCACTACTGGAGTAGTTCAAGGTAGCGTCTTAGGCCCCCTCCTATTCACTCTATATGTCAACGACATATGCAGCCGTTTCTCACTTGGTAAACCATTCATCTTTGCAGATGATCTTAAAGTAGCTTACACATCCCACTGTGATGACTTAGGGTACTTTCAGAAAGCTGTGCTACACATGGAACCTTAAATTCAACCATAAAAAATGTGGCTGGTTCTGTTTCGGCACACCCTCAATAAATATCAAACTGGTACTTGAATCTGTTGACTTGCCTTAACTCCAAAGTGTTGTTGACCTAGGACTCAGGTACTCTAGTGACCTGACATTTTCTGAGAAAGCGGCTATACAGACGCGTAAATGGAGGATGCTCTTAGGATGCATACTCAGGAATTTCCACAACTACGAGGCGAAGCTATTATTATATAAAACTTGTGTCAGACCACTACTTGAATATTGTCCATTTATTCTCAGCAGCACTCGCGTAAGTGACAAACTTAAAATAGAAAGTGTCCAACGATACTTCACGTCTAAACTACTAGGATTTGACTGCGAAAAGGACTACACATCAAGGTGTATAACTCTAGGTATCGACCCACTCTGGATGGGACAACTCAGCATTAACCTAACATTCTTCTT